AGAGTGTAAGAAACCAGAACTTCTCCTTTCACGAGACTGCCAGTTTCGAACATTTTTAGCAAGAATAAGTAGCAGACCATCTAATTGTTTCGATTCTACCGGACGAACACGGGGGAGGGGTGAGCGCCATCGCTACCACACCCATGGTCCGTAGACCAAGTGCCAAACGAGAGCGCCTAGATGTACCATAATATCGTGGCTTTTTTGTCTGTGCGTTTATAATAAGGGTACAGTTTCTCGAGTAAAGATTTACCCGAGTAGCTGCCTTTGATGCAGTACCGGTCAAAAGTGTTTGCCGAAACGATTTTTAGTGCATTATTTTTCTCGCTTGAGCAACGCCCTCCAAAGATTGATATACTATGTTTTCTAGTGTTTTTATATCCTCAAGTCTTAAAGAATCAGGATATTCAAAGAAAAAAATCTCGAGGTCACCTTCCGGGGTTTCGAGGTTTGGTTTTTACTGGCAAAAAAAGAAGCACGAAAAGCGGTTTCGGCGAACTTTTTTGACCGCTACTGTATGTGGGAGCACTTTTAATGCTCTACAATGCTTTTTTTCGCATTTTTCAATACGCTAACTGTGTTCAGATACGGGGATTAGAAAATAGGACACACAGACGCCAAGAACAATGTTTTCGACATTTACTAATCTTTGATTTTCAAAAGGACCTAGGAATGGTTCAGAACATCTTCATTATAGGCTGAAATTTCACAAGCGAATTAACTGCTCGAAAGTTTTCACAAGGGCAACCTCGACTTGAAGATAACAAAAAAAAGTAGTAGTTTTTGTTCGGTAATGCTGGGACACTCCGTGACTCAGGTTTTCAATTGAAAAGGCGCCATCGACGGGGCAAAACGCTACGCTACAACGAACCGACCCAATAAAACAAGAATTCCTGTAAATACCCATCTCGTAGGCCAACGTTGAAATAAAATTATGTATCAGCATTATTCTGACACAAATTTGAAAGCATGCTGTACTTTCAAATAGAGTTCATTTTTGTCACACACAGCGATTACTATTACCAACTGCACTTTTCTTATCTTTTTTTCTGGGGTATCTCCCACGGCACAACGCAAAGCGCACAACGCCAGGATAACAATGCATCGCAGCTCAGGAATTCGAGTGAGAGTGCTGTTAAACTAACGCTAATCAGTTACGACCTTTCTGGACTTTAACTCACACACAAGTCTCCGCGCTGTTTGCTCTTAACTGATAAGCAATGTGTTCCGCATTGACTCACTGATAAGAGCAAGTCATCCAAACATTCTTAACCACTGAATCACACTACGGACTTAGTAAGAAACAATCTCACCTTGCTGCACTTGGTGGAGGAGCGTAGAATCGGTTCAGCGGAATGTCTTTCACGTCTGATCGATTACGCGAGCCACTGGAGTGGCTGAGTGATCTCGTCGAATTAGGTGGAGGTAAAGCCGGATACGACGAATTCGTGGATGTGACCACTGAGTAGGTCCGTAAGGCCACCTGTTGAAAGCAAAAGTCTATATGTGAATTACTGCTCAGGAAGCCCAATACGTACTTTCTAGAGCGCACAAATTAGCTCAGCCTTCCTGCCAAGGCCGCAGGCGATAGCGAATCTTTGCATGTGAACCTCGCCACGATCCGGCCTTGATTTTGAGAGCTAAGCACACACCAACATACACGTATTACTCTCAAGTTTGAACTCTAACCCTTTCGAAATCGACAGACCCACGGAAAGCCTTTCTCACGACTACTTGAGAGTTTTTCCTTTCGTTTTCGAACCCCCATTGTAAACGTTTTCCTTGTTTAATTAAATAAAGTAAGGAGGAAATGTGTCATTTCTTAACGAACAAAAAAATCAAAAACACATGCGTAGTGTTTGTGGTAACTAGAACCAATTTTCTCTAGTAATTTATTATCACCGACACGTGAGTGCTGGCAATCAAGCAAAGCAAAGGTGGACAATGGTCGTATGAAAATGAAAAAAAAAGAAACTGATAAGAAGCCGTGAAGAAGGACCTTCTATGGGTCCGCCAATTTTGGAAAAGTTCGAGAGAGAACTTGGAAGTAGTACGTGTATGTTACTTATGATTGTTTCTCAAAATCAAAGCCGGATCATGACCAGGCTCACATGCGAGGGTTTTGCTTGCTAGAGTGAAATAGTTAAGCTGTCATTTACAGCGTACATTTGGGCGTAATGAAGGGCCTTGGCAAGGAGGCTGAGCTAGTATGCGCTTATATTTAACATGTTTACTATCCCTCACGTTTCGGTGTTGGCAGTGGATCATGAGCGATTGGCAGCACGGTACCGACGCGCTAATTATTAGGTAGAACCCCCCCCACAACCACCCCCCCACTCAAATAGGAATGAATAGTTGAGTGTGACTACATTTCAACTCGTCGGTCCAACCACTCGTGGCATGAATTGGAGGAGTATCTAGAGGTTCGAGAGGTTTAACAGAAGGTGTTCTAGAAGTTACGCAAACATTTTCTAAAGCACGTGCGCCACAAAAAAAAAGAGTCAACACGTGTTGCAAATGATGCGAAAAATCCCTCTCTAAATGTTGAATAATGAATGTTTCCATAAGAAGCAAAAACCTTGTCACCGTAGAACTATTATTTGCGCTTTTATACCTGTGTAAGCAGTTGTTTTTGTAGCTCCGCTCTACTCTATTTGCTTGCTTATTTAAGATTAAAAGACGAAATTTGAAGACAACTGAGAAGTACGTAAGGCTCAGGAAAAAAAACCGCCAAACTAAAGCATATCTAACCATTTCATTGACCACAGCGTTTATAATGTTAATGCATGGACTATAGAACGAGTACAAAAAACGTCGGAAGAAGTCGCGCAAGCGAAACAAAAAGGGATCACTTGGGCGCGATGCCATATCCCCGTTGACGGACTACTTGAACCCGGTCCTTTAAGCCGCCTCAGATCCATCTCTCGTCTGCGCTCTCTCACCTTATCATGGCCATTGTGATCACACACATTCAAACTTTTGCCACACTGTAGTTGGCTCACCCACCTCGAAGTCCCTCCCTCCTACAAGGCTTAGTCCTAGGGCTCTCACCTCCTTCCCTGGGATTTGGAGCCGAGCCAGGCGCCGTTCTCTAACTGTCTGTGCCCTCCGCCATTCGTGGCAGGACCATGGAAGAAAGTTCAAGTAGTCCGTAAACCGCTATAGGCAGGGCGCAATCATCAATGAATACGACCACTAAATGCTCGTGGAGAGGAATTAAAAAAGACTCTAGTGTGTAGGTCAGGAGATCGTAATTAGGGCGCGAATACGCCAGTGTCGCCAATCTTACAAGATGATCATGAATTTTCGAGCAATATTCTGGGTAGGTGGATCATTGACTTCCGCGTGTACAGTTGAGCTATCCACAATGGTAGAATGCGAGCCGTTCTGAGTGCGCAAAGTGCCGAACAAGGGCCAGTGTGGTTGTCATGATCGCTGCTGGTCGCTGCGGTTGTATCTAGCGAAACAGACACCTGCCCTCAACTGTCTGTAGACGAGATGTCGGCGTCCTATGCTCTCTTACTTATTTGCATGAAGTGGACATGATGGCAATGGAAGAAACTTCTGACCCACTCGTAGACAACTATTGGAAACGGCTAACGATTTACCAACCTCAACTTGGGTTCCAGTTTGTGCATGAGGAGGTAAGAGAATGCTTGCCTCCGCCATTCCAGAACCACGCAGCTGATGAACCGAAGAAGTCGTGTCCAGTCGACCGCTGCCACAAAGCGCATAGTTACTGTAATAGCAATCAGTAAGAGCTAGTTGTATACAACAAGAACTTTGGGTTGAATATCGCACAGGTTGCTCAAGCCTTCCATACCTGTGCGGTATTTTGGCACTAACTTGTTCAGTATGGCAAAAACATTAACTTTTTCATTGATTGACCCCTAAGTCACTGTATAGGGTGAATCCCAATCAAATGAGACGATTCTGAACGGAAAACGAATGCGAGGCGCGTCCCACTACGGAAGTGATCACGTCGAATGTTTTACCTTTTTATAAAACAAGGGACAAGGGATCCCCTAACATCGGCAAAGCGTGCAACCTATCATCTTTCCAAACCTCTTACACTAAGCTTATTTCGATCGAAGTATGCTTCAACATCCTACAAGTCAAACTAACCTACTACCCACATTCAAGAAACTAATTAAAGAGATATAGTGAATCCAGAAAGCAACCCAGCACTACCTTCAATATCATGCGAATGATAGAACCTCTCTGAAGCATGAACGCGAACACCTTTGATAGAGAATTATACGTTTTTTTTACTTATTCACGTAATCTGAATCTGATAACGGAAACATTATCAATCAATGGATAATCTGCTTCTATCAACTATGGTTGGGAAGGCTGTTGGTTAGTTAGGATGGGTGTTCGCATTTTCAGCGCACCGGCAGGGGATAAAATACAGACTGCGCGGCATCTACGCCTACTAAGCCTTCCATGGCTGGGGGCCGGTTATTAAAATGTGGTTCGTCTGAGTTAAGGGACGAAACGAACCACTTTATATTTTTAACACAAAATTTATAAGTTTGCGTTTTTTCTTTTTATTTATTGGACAGCATGAGTGGTGAGAAGATTTTACAGCGTGAAATACGTCTGTGCTCCTTGCAATACATGCACGGCAAATCCATGTCTTAATGCCATTCGATTGACGGAGGGTCTTTTTTTTTCGAATGTTTTTCAAGCAGTTTATATTTTTGGCTTAAGAAATGGCATCGTGTTGCATACAGAAAAAACGCTTTGGAGGTGTGGTAGGCGGACCATCGGGACAAGTGCGCCAGTAGAAGATCTTGTGAGTCAGCGTTCGGGCCTGCGCGGCAGCCGCGTCATTTTACCGCGTACTTTTTTCTAGTAAACGAACGATATTCACTGTTCCATTACGTATTGGAGATATAAAAAGAAAATGTCACGATAGGTTACCGGAAGCAGCGAATAGACGCATCTGGTCAGACAGTATAGATATTCCAAGGAAAGTATATACAACATCGGACGAGAGGACTGGAATTCTACCGCTGAGGTCAGGATATTTGCACAACATCTGAACGGAGAACTACTTGAAGAGTATAAAACCCAAAAAATTCATTTCAAGCTACCTTTGGATTCTCATCCGCTCCGTTTTCACAATCAGGGAATCCATCACACATCAGCCGACGCTTCACACATTCGCCTCCAATCATCAGTGGGAAGCAACGTCAGATCAGCCCTGGGTGCAGGGCACTAGAGAATAGGCAGTGACATTGATGAAATGCGATCAGCAGTGCCAATACGTTGTTTGTCTTGAGGCTTAGGGGATCATTAGGGGCTGACTGTACAATTCGAAAGACTTTGGAATAGAAGCAGTTTGCAGTGTTTAGGGAATGTGCATAGGAAACAGGCTTGGGATCCATCTTCCGCGATGAATGGTGTTCGAGGACCTATTCAATAAAGAATGAAGAAACACGGTTAATAAAAAACCGCGGTTCTTTTGCTTGCATAGAGAAAAAAAATCCTAAGAAATAGAGGGGAAATTTGAGCTGGCAACTCTTTAACGCTATTTGTCGGCAAGCTCTTCGCTCAATTGGAAGCCAGTTTTGGCCTTGAGACATTCAAGTCGAACCTCAGGATGTGATAACGTCCTCGTGAAAACTCGATATTGCAGAACAAGAAAACTTGACGAATTAGAAGAACTTTGCCTCATGCCAAAAATTGACAAAAATTTAGTAGTGAAATGCTTACGCAGGTGCGGTTCCTGCTATTTAAGGTTCTGAAAGTCGACAACTGCGATTTTTTTTTGATAATTTCGACTGATTCCTTGCCATAAATAACTCCTGTATCGCAATTTTAGCAAGAGCTGTTTCTTCTGGCTTTCTTTTATAACTATGTTTTAGTTTTTGCACGTTTCACTATTATATAAAGTCACCTTGAGAAAATGAATAATACAACGACTTTGACTTGTTTTTTGTTTGTTTTCCGCCTGTGGGACGAAGTTTATTGTTCAAAGCGCTAATTTGTCAAACAATTGAATGACTAACAAAATAGACAGGAATACGATATACTTTTTACAAACACGAGATGCTAATTTCTGGATGTTCGTATTCGTGTTTCGAAATTAAACGCAGATTTGTTGCATTTCGTGATGCTCGACTCCGGTTTCATAGCTCGATGCTCTATTCATAGATAAATTAAGAGCTCCTTCGCATGTCTCCAGATATTTTATAAGTTCTGAATATCCACAAAATGTTACGATGAATGATTAGAGAAAAGGTGAGAGCTGTCCCAACAGCGGTCCTTCTCAAGAGTCCTTAGTATTCATGTTGTGCTAGTTCGAAAAATATCTCTTGCATGGGAAAGGAGCGATAATATTAATTAATGTGAGGTAGTTGTATTTCGATTTTTTCTTAAAGCCGTTGATTGAGTGTTGCCTTACTAATTTTTTTTCTGTATTTAGATTACGTATCGCTCAAGTTTTTCATCCTTTAGCTTTGTTAGAATGGATAGAAAATTCGTTTCTTTAAGAAGTTTAAGGTACGAATGGCGTCTGCGATTTTGAGGTAGTAGATTGTGAAGTGGGGTGCCCAAGCAGAGTCAACCCTGCGTTGCGCAGTTTTCAACGGCCACGTTGCGCAGTTTCGCCCGATTAGACACGTTCTCTCGCGCGAACATTCACACTCGCATGCTCGAGCCGTCTGCGTCTCCGCCCATACAGCGTGCGTTGAGGATCTCTCAACGTGCCGTTGCGAACTGCGCAACGCAGGGTTGACTCTGGCCAAGGTGGCGCTTATCACCTTATTCTTTTTGTCTGTATCATGCGGCTTCACGGTGTATGAGAAGATTGTGGTGTTGTTTGCAAACAATTTGCAGATGATTAAGGTTTATAGGAAAGTTGGAAGACATTGATGACACAATAAGATTCAGATGGCTTTGGATTGTATTTCTGATTGGTCAAGTCAACGGAATTTACCCCATTTTCTCCTGAAAAAAATGTTTTTATGAAGATTAGCTGTTTGTACTGAAACCTACCCACTAAACATATTAGGCCTCGCTAATGACAAAAAAATTTGGTATGGAAATGCTACCAGTGCGGTTCCTGATTTAAGGTTTCGAAAGTCCGACTGAACTGCGATTTTTTTTTGATAATTTCGACTGATTCCTTGCCATAAATAACTCCTGTATCGCAATTTTAGCAAGAGCTGTTTCTTCTGGCTTTCTTTTATAACTATGCTTTAGTTTTTGCACGGTTTTACTATTATAAAGCAGGTGAATTAACGTCGAGGGCAATTCTCAGACACATAGCTCTCTACCATGCGAGAGTAGTGCCGAGAGTGAACATCCGCGCGGAGAGCACAGACGGCACGGCATGGCGAGTGTGAATGTCCGCGCGAGAGATCGTCTCTGATCGGGCAGAGAATCCTCGACGTGCCGTTGAGGAATCCTCAAGCGATATTCACCCTGTATTAAGGTCAAGGCTTGAAGCAAATGAATGAATACACATGACCTGACTTTTTTGCTTTTTTGCCGGCCTGGGCTCGAAGTTTTTTTCACAATCCAGCACACTTGTGAAACATGACGACTAACAAATAGACAGGAACCGAATCTTCTTACAAACCACGAGCTGAATTTCTGGAATGCTTCGTATTCGTGTTTCGAAATAAAACGCCAGATTTGTGCATTTCGTGATGCTCGGCTCGGTTCATTGCTCGATGCTCTATTCATAGATAAATTAAGAGCTCCTTCGCATGTCTCCAGATATTTTATAAGTTCTGAATATCCACAAAATGTTACGATGAATGATTAGAGAAAAGGTGAGAGCTGTCCCAAACAGTACGTCCTTCTGAAGAGTTCCTCGTAATTCAATGCTTCTGTCTCGAAAATATTATCAGGAGAGCGAATAAATAAATAAATAAATAAATAAATGTGAGGTAGCTTATTTCGATTTTTCTAAAGCCGTTGATAAGGTTGACCATACTAAACTTTTATTTAAGTTAGATCAGCTCAAGTTTCATCCTTTACTTGTAGATGGATAAAAAAATTTTCCTTCTTCAAGAACGTTTCAGGTCCGAATTGGGTATACGTTTTCTAGAGGTAGTGGATGGTTCGAAGTGGGACGCGCCAAGGTGGTGTCTTATCACCTATTCTTTTTGCTGTATACACTGCAGAGCTTCCCGGTGTACTGGAAAGATGTGGTGTTGTTTGCAAACAATTTGCAGATGACAATTGCATTTCTGATTGGTCAAGTTAATGGAATTTACCCTTTCTCCTGAAAAAAAAAACTGTTTATATGAGGATTGGTGTTTCTAACATTGCAAACACCTACTGTCTTGGCAGTCATGTCCTTGATGAAGTCTCTTCAGTCAAAGATCTTGGTTTCATTATGACAATAAGCTGAGTTTCTCTGATCACTATGCGGCCATCACCAAAAAGGCTGTGTTTCGTACATATCAAGTCTTCAAGGGTTTGGCGATAAGGGATAAAGATGTCCTAATAAAAGCTTACAAAACGTATATCCGTCCCATCGCGGAATGTGGTACATCGGTCTTCTGCCCTCATAAGAAAAAGGATATCCAGTTACTTGAAAAATCCAAGATAATTTCACTCGAAAACTATTTATTAGGGCTGGTGATGCTACTTACGCTCGTGTGCCTCAACCGAATTCCAGAAATAGAAGTTACCAATTGCATAGTTTACGTTCTCGTAGAAAAGTTTATGACGCTTGCATGGTGTTTAAGTTGTTATCCGGTAGTGTCCGAGTTGGAATTTCCTCTCCTCTCTCATAATTATTGAAACGCACTGAATTGGTTTATGGTCTTATGACTGATTTGGACACCGACAGTAGGGAGCTTTTTATCCTCCTCATCTATGGCAACTGCTTTATTTCGAATCCTACTGCTCCAAAACTTTTTGTGTTTCCTTTCCGAACGTTTTCGGAACGTTGAATTCGATTCATTCCTAGTAAGGCATCAACTGATACATAGCGGTCTCATCGCGTTTCGTTCTAGTATGCGCCCTTTTTGCTCCGTCCTAGTGGTGCCCACAAAGTGTGGTTTTCAAAGGCTTCTTTCTAGATGAAAAGTGAAATGTTATCCGTGGAAACATGTATGCTGCAACTAGTGATCACACATGACGCACTCATATGGGGAATTAATATAAGTTTCCATACATGATTCCTACGCACATTCCCCGACACCTAAAAAAGGTTAATGATATTCAAATGTGAACTAGAGACTGCTACTTGAAAGCGGGAGAGTGTCGGTGAAGAAAAGAGGGAAAATCATCAAAAACTCAAGTTTGAAAGCCTTTTTGCTTTTGGCAGCTATAGTGAATGAGCCACATACAGTCTGTGAGACACACTGGACATTGAAGCAAGGGAGCAGACCCGTAGTGAAATACAGGGTGGTCCAAAATTATGAGGACCGCGTGTGCGCGCGGTCATATCCACTTTTTTTCCGATCGCTCCATTTTCATCTCGTTTTCTGTGCACTATGTGAAAGGGTACAATGTCTTCTTCCTAATGAAACCAAATTTCATGAAGTTCTCAAAACTAGTGAAATAACTACTTCACTTTAGTCAGTCCTCAAATTGAACTCACTAGGGGCTCTGGCACGTTACATCTAGCAGCAGTCTAACCTATCAGGGAAGCTCTTATGGGCAACAGTTCAACTCTTCAATAAGTTTGGAACCACCACAGATGGAAAATTCGGAGACTCGAAAGTTACAGTTACCACCAGGACAATTATCAGATGCAGAAACTAGTCTCCCCTTGTCGACTTTCGTACTCCCAAAATGAAAAAAAAATGATGTGAGACCCAGCGAGACACTCTAGAGGCAAAAATTCTTCAGAAAGCAATTTTTCGAGCTCCTTGCTTTCAAGGAATTATTACCTGGAAATCTAATTCGTTCCATCAATCTATTAAGTGTTTTTGACGACATAATGCCTTGGTCCTCATAATTTTGGCCCACCCTGTAAGATGACATCTCAGCGAAACGCAGATAATGCAAAGCTGAGCATGTGTTGATGCGTCGGAGCCCATGGCTGCAAGAATTTGGCAGGGACCGCGTTAAAGTTCCCAGGGAAGCTGTGAAAGGAGACCTAAGTATATCGTTAGCCAATGTTGGTTGAATGTTGGTTACAAATATAATATGTATGAAGACCCAAAACTACTGCGTGGACTTTCCTAAAAGTTTGGGAGGAGTCAAAGTTGGCAGGAAATGAGCGTAGTTATATGAAGAGGGCTAATCCCATACACAGCTGAAGTCACAGCGGTATTTGGACGGAGAACACACTCTGGAGGCGGGCGCTCATGAATTTGCTTCTCGCCGGCTCAGACTTTCAATCGAAGAGACAAGAAAGGAACAAATAAGCGATTGGGGCAGCAGATTAAATATTTGGCCGGAATGTTGTTAATTATCTTCATTGATTCTGCCCTTCCTCCCTAAAAGTAGCCTGATACTGAAGAGCGCTGACTTTTCTTCCCTCTGCTGTGCAGTCCCATCTCGTACTTCCAACCGTGCACAAGTTGACATAACGGACTACGAAACTTCGGCGCAGACATTTTTTACAGCAGACCTACCGCCTACCAACTGTGGCATTCAACCATCTGGACGCCCTCTTCAAAGAGGCCAAGCCTTGAAATCCACCATGATCCTGAAATGATTTTCGCCGAGCTTTCCCCCGACAGAACTCCATTTTCCAACATTCGGACCCATTAAGCTCTTTTCTTATTGGCAAACATATGTGGATTGAAAGAGTTCTTATTTCTATCAAACGCACTGTTTGGATGAAAATATGCGCTTTCAAACTTTAAAGTCACAATTGGCGGACGGTTCCCGAACAACCCAATGGTGACAGCTCTTACTAACACGTGCGAAAAGCATCGCGCAGGCGGAGGGCAAGCCGACTAGCTGTCACCTGCAAAGTGAGAAATCTACCACTGAACCTCTGTCACCACAAGGTTAGCTCTCCCCATATAGTATCATGGAGACCATACAAATACGGCTATTCACTGCTAAACCTGACTGCCCTGAACTTGCTAGAAAACTTCGCGTAGCAGCTCACTCCCCATGCTTGTAACCAACATTCTTTGACTCTATGTACTTGATATACCTAAGCTTTCCACCAGAAGCTCCATGAGAAGTTGAAAGCGCTCTTCTTTAAGCTACCAGCGCCCTAAACATGCGATGAATTGCGGAAACGGCACTACTTCTTTGTTGCGGACCCAGAAATACGTGGCGGAGAGAATTGGTCCAGTCAACTCATTGCAAAACATTATCTGGAGAGTGACATTTAGAACCAGGATGCACTTGATGTGACATTCGAATCTGAAGTTTACGAATGGGTGCTCCCTTCTAGACACAAGAGCTTCACGTAGGACAAGATGGGTGTCACGAAATGACGGTAGTGCATGCGTCGCCGCACACACAGTAATATGCCGTACGGAAGAAAAAGTAGTTAAGTCATTATAACACTGTTGGCGTTGATCTAGTTTCAGCACGTCGTCGCAAACCTCGTGTCCTGACCCATCTTCTGGAGAACCCAAATGCTCCAGCACTCCACTCGCACATTCAAAAATTGTGAAAGAAACTACTTACCGACAATGCCTCTCATCAGAGCCATCCTCGCAGTCCACTTGCCCGTTGCATAACTAAAATCGACTATTTAATACAACTGAAAAGATGGGCGTCTTGAGCCTATAGACAGCTCCTCCTCCTGGAGGCTATCTAGCACGGAACGCTCTGGGAACGAAAACCGTAACCGTCAATCATACAATATAATACATACCAGCATGCGATCAATGGTGCTCGCACTGTCATCGCATGGCCATCGATCAGGACCCACGTTTCGGCATAATGATGGAGATTCGTCGCTGCCATCACTAAATGGGACCGGTAAAGGTATGGTGATAGATATGCTTAGTTTTTGATTTTCAAAAACCAACGGCTCTTTGAAGCGCGGCTAAAAGGCGCTTCGAAGAGAAGGTTTTTGAATGACAGGCAAACTGTTAACATGTGAAAAAGAAATATTCATTTTTCTACGCTTTTCTCTTAATTGTTCTATTGGAGCAATACTGCTCTGTAGCGATTGTTTCCAAAGCCTCAGCAAAAATTTGAATAAATCCCAACTTCTCATAGATGCTGTCAAGCCCATCCCCTTCCGAGCACATGGAATAGATCCCACGCTGACCTTCCAATGATTTTCACAACGACTTGAACTTGTTAGTGATCTTTGAAAAAACTGTTTTACAACCACTCACGCACAATCCGGGACACGATCGCACTTCTTGGCTGAATGAATGCATGACTGCCCATCATCGCATGCAAATTCCCACGAAGCGCACGGTACATTGGGAACACATGTCGATGGACTGAAAACACCACGAAACGATATTTTTGGAAAAAAAATCGTCGTGTGGGACAAAACGTGGGAAGGAAAAAGACACCATGGAATTCCTACGTATTAAAATCTCTATTAGACGAATGCCCTTCAGAAGATCCTCTATGAAAAGATGATCCTTCATGAAAGTTCGAAAATTTTGTTAGGCAACTGTTCAGCAGAGAAGACAGAAAACTATAAGCATCGCCGATTTGGAAAAGCAATTGCTTCTGATTGTCTTACTTGCGGTCTTGTAGAAGGTAAGCCACAAATGAACCCAGGAGAACTCAGAATGAGGGAGGTCACCGATCCGTAGCGCATTTGGTGCTGTATTCTTACCACCAAACAGCGCACATTTCAGCACAAGTATTAGAATTTGCTATTTCAGTAAGCTGAGAACTCACTTCTCAGTACTGATAGCATATCCTAAAGGACATATGCACTCGTACTTCTGCTTGGAATCGCGAAGGAAGCGACAGAGATGTGAACAGCTTGCCTCTCGGCAGACCCTTGAAGGGATCCCAACTGAAACGAGCAAGTGTTAGTTTAAGTTTGTTTATTTATTTCATTTATTTGTTCACAACGTTGCGTTGTGACAACGTTGAAAAATAAACACAAACATCAGCAATAGCGACAAACAAAGACAGTCACCTAGAAGAAGGAAGTTGATGTCAACAATGCCTTTAGTATGAGTTTATCTAATCAGCATTTGAAGTACCCCCCAGAGCCTGAGAAGTAATTAATCCGCTGATATGTAAATATACAAGACCTGCCCTAAAGGAGAAAAAGGTGTGCCTGGTGGTTTTGATGAGTAATCTGGTTCATTTTCAGTAACGAAAATTTGAAAATGAAAAATTCCAACACATATAAAACTTAATAATGTTACATTAATAATCAAATCAATAAAGAATTATAACAAAAATGTAAAAAATAGTCACAAAAATAATATTATAAATTCGAAATAGTACTATGAACTAATGCAATTTATACAATAGTAAACAAATAATAACAAATTCGAATGTACTCTATGTACAAAATCATTTGAGACCTACTGAATCTCTGCAGCACGGAGGTTGACCTCGGTAAGGTCCACTGTAGAATTTGACGGCAGTTCGATGATAGTTGAATTACTTAAAAAAACAGTAGCATAATTTTCTTAATGAGCGCACTCTGCACTCAAAACCTTTTGGTCCGAACCCGAAAACTTACTTCGATGATATTTGAGCAACCAGCATAGCCGTTTCATCCAGAGGAGCTACCGAGTAGTCGTTGGCTACCGATGAGACAAAGTGATGACGAACATTCGATGAGACCACACCGACATCACGGGACCATATCCCACTTGGACACTGAAAATGCTCTTCAGGCGAAGCCCTTACTGTTTGATCACAAACTAGAGTACAGTTCGGCTTGTAACGCGTGCGGTCGCGAAGCTTCCGGGTAATGGAACTGCGCCTACAGACACGAAAACAGACCAATTCCAGAACAGAAAAATGGTCACAACTTTGAAATTGCCAGTAATGCCAGAAACAACCTTAGCTTCACATCAGCATGAGATGAAATCCGTTCACTTACAAATTAACGGCGCGGTACTCACCGTATAGAACAGCCGCAGGTAAGCAGGATCAACATAGATTCGAGTGCCTGGCCACAAATCCTAAATTGATTCATTAACAAGTACGTAGATGGGTTCCCGGTGAGAGAGAGCAACGAATCAAAAGACCTTTGACAACCACGCTTCACATTTACGACCGTCAAGTTGACATTGAATTATAGCCGGCGATGGTAGAAATGGCGAAACATCCACGTAGAAAAGATAGCTGAACATTTAAAAACGCTGCAAATTATTGCTCAAGTACAGCTCTGAACCACGCAGTTGTTACAATTCTTACTTGGATTGAGGAAGTACGGTAATATCTCGAGGCACAGGAGCATGGCCAGTTGCTAATGAGACCTCGGTTCCCGAAACCACCTTGCCTATCAGTTCCAATGGCACCACGTGCGTATCCTGTAAAGCGCAGAAATAGCATTTGGTTATGCATGAAAACACATTACCCACCCTGACTCTGAAAACATAGACGTAACCGATGCCAGCTCTTGAATGGCAAGATGCGTAGAGTGCCCGCCCATTTTCGTCAATTGCCAGCGAATGGAATATTGAGCAGTTGTGACGATCAGGAAATACAGATGTCTAAAAGTGTACAATTTTCACATAGCATACGCTAATCATGGGTAGGTTACAACATAAGTGGTGCGAAAGAAGCCAAGCGTCAGAGATATCACTCTACCACCACTTATGACCTTTATAGGTACTTTCAGCACATCGCCACAGCAAGCTTGTCGTGGCTGAGCTCAAGGATAAAGCAGAAATTTTTGAAGTCGTGCAGACGAAAAGATGTACCAAGTGAAAGTGTCAAATACATGCCCGACTTCAAATGGCATTAATCAAAGTGGATGTCGCGTTGAACTACGAGTGGCCATTGACATGAAAAGACCTCTCACTCAAGTTAAGAGGGCGGCTTCTGACTTCAACAGTGTCTGTGCAGTAACCAATACTTCCGCTTTTTTGATCTCTTTTGGGTTTTTTGCCCCGAGAAAAAACGGAGGTGACCATCAGCAAAATGAGAAGCATCTACGGTTACCGCTTGAGGTTGATGCTACGCAACCGCGTGCACTCCACTCAGTCCGTTGGACCAAGGAGACGGGGGAGGGGTCGTAATGAGACTTTTGAAGGGGTCGCGAAGGTTCGTAATGATTCAAATAGGTAGGTTGTTGATTCAGTAGTCACATACACCCACGCCCCATTCCCTGCTTGATGGAATCATGGGGGTTGAGTTGGAGCTTCTCAAGTAGTAATAGGTTAACAGAGTTAAAAGCGTGAAAGTCGACTTTGATTCTAATCCTCCTCATTCCATGAGATTGTAAACAGAAAAGATGTGGTAAGGTGAACCTCGAATGAGTACCAAACACCAAAAGATTGAAACAACGCCAAGCCATTCCGAGCTCTGACGGAACAGCTACGCTTCCTATAGCCATTTGAAAGGTAGATAAAGATGCTTCCCAAAATCTTGGATCGCCCGCGTTCTCCATAGTTTGTCAAAGATAAACTTTCAAACAGAACATACCTTGGCAGGAAAAGTCAGCCGTGCGTACTTGATTCTCGATGGGTCCCTGGCATCAATCCAAAAAATAAGCCGACTTGCTGTATCCATTGCTATGGAATACGGAACCCCGACCGATGGCAACATGAAAGACACCATGGGGTCCTGAAAAGTGTGGTCATACTCGTAGCTCCACCAACGCCTATAGCAATGAAAAAACTATAGAAACTGCATAACTGCTGTCGAACACAGTGGGCCGTCCTTAATATGAAGATTACGTGACTACTTGAACTCTCCCCTGTGTTCTCTGCCGCGAAAGGCCAGAGCACAGACGATTAGAGAACGGCGCCTGGCTCGGCTCCAAAACCCAAGAAGGAAGGTGAGAGCCCTAGGACTAAGCCTTGGAGGGAGAGGGACTCCGGAGTGGGTGAGCCAATTACATTGTGGCAAAGTTTGAATGTGTCAGATCACAGTAATCATAAGCCGCTGTTTAAGCGAGAGAGCGCAGGCGAGAGCATAGTCGAGCGGTTTAAAGGAATGAGTTCAAGTTGTCCGTAGACCTAATATGAACAAACAAGCAGCCCGATGCGACGCGATCGGATCAGAAACATGCACTCAGTACTGAGCTAATGTCAATGAAAAGAGGACTGTAGAAATACCTCGTGATATGACAACGACTGATCAGGTAATCGTCGCAGATTCATGACAACAAAGCCTTCATCACTTCCGGCCACAATTATGTTATCGGGCGCTAAAAAGTAGTGGACAATCATGGAAATGATTTCAAACCTCAATAATGAAGCTAATTCAATTTCAAATTTTTACCTTTACAAAGAAGCGAATATTGATCGAACGTGAAGTGGTCTGAGCAAAGACAAAGTCGTTCGATTCGCGACGTGGCCAGACATAACTGCGGACAATCGGAGAGCTCGTAGGTGCAGGGATTCGAATCTAAGCAAAAGGCCTAATAGTGACAAGTTCAAAACACATAAAAGGCAGATCACATATAAATAAAAACTCACCACTTGTAGCACGACCATGATGTATCAGCAGCGCGGTCACATTTGCTACATTCTCATGCAGTGTTACCAGCTCTCTGCCATTATAGAACCCGATAGCGTTCTGCCTCGTATCGGAATAATACAGTCGGTGATTGAAGTGAAACAGATGATGTGGGCTCTGATCCGTTCCTACGTAGAGCAGCTCTCGGTACAAACCTGTATCAAAAATTAGAGTACATTTTTCAACAAAGTAGTTCATACATATATGTGACGGCGTATTGGGAATATTGAATTGTTAAGGTAACTTTTGGGCGTAATTGAAGAAATGGTAAATGGCGCTGCCTACCGCGCGCAGAGCCCGATGATCGAATCCCGGATTGCACAATGTCCAAACCAACCAAGCCCTCCACTCCTCTCGTTGTGAATTGATATCAGATTTGTCATGGACTGTGGGATTGGGTCTGACTTATACACTGCCTGGTCCCCGCACGGACATCATATAAAAGGTCAAATAGTTCCAAGCCACTGTGGATCTGAACGGAAGTCGAATGCGTGGAGCACCTCAAAAAGGGATTTATCAACACCAAATTCTTTATTCTTTTCTATCCATTTGAGTTTGCTTTTAGGCTCTAGAGCCCTTTCAAAGACCTCCTCAAAAAGAAAGGTTTAAAAGATTTTGAATCGTTTGGGGAACAGTTTGAACACTCTCCAATTAATTTTGGATCACTTAAAAAAAACTTCATGTTTGTCACTCTATGATTCAGACGTACGCTGAATAGGATACAGCAAATGAAGCTCACCATTTAATTTAGAAACAGATATACGAGTGGCAAAGTGATCGAGTTCTGTCCAATACAGTAAGTCCTTTCGATAGTCTATCGCCAGTGAACGAACCATGGCAAGATCTCCAACGATATCTGTCCCGCCAGCGCTATCACCATTGAGAGGCATACGCTGAAAAGGTGCTGAGGGTGTTGAGGAAAACATAGGACTAAATCAACAAATAGATTTCAAATCCTACCCTAATTGTTATGTTTGCTAGGTTGTTGACGAAAAAGACAGCTCCGGCCAGAGGGTGAACTATCAAAGAGGTTGGTTTGATGGAATGCGATGCTACCGTTCGGCGATACTTTCCGCTATGATCACAAACTTCAATGCGGCCTCGGACAGGATTCGACCTGAAAATGAGTCAAATTTTCGACGTATTCGTTAAACGTTGCAAGGAAAGCTTTGGCATAGACTTTCATTTCTACCCCATAATCACGCATGCTGTGCGAAGAGGTTAGTAGAGTGTTCCCTCGCTGTTAGGTTTAGGTGGACCCTTTTATGTCACCTTGCGGTGGTTCAGTGGATTTAATGTGATGAGAGAGAAGTAAGAAAGCGTGAGCACGAACGAGTTTATTGAGCCAAGACGTCGTAAGCTATATCGAGTAATGCCTATGTTCTCAACTTTGTACAAAAGGGTCCGCCCCCGCCAGACGTAAGGCCGAGAGGGATCATCGCCTGCGATGCGCAGGCGATGATACTTGCTTCGAAATGAATTAAAAATAGCATCAAATATTAAATGGTGGTAAAGAGTAGACGGGCAGGACGAGAGCAGACATTGAACAACTGATGTGAAATGGTCTCTAACAGTTAAGAATTGTTAAGGGACACGAAAATGCGTTCTAACGCTTCTTCTTACTTCAGGTTCAATTCTACCTCAAATTTTTGACACCATCTTAGAGGTGAGCTTAGCTTGCTTACAGATCTTGTTGGGCATTATCACGTAACGAAGTAAGGACTTCATATTTAAGCTTCTGTGCATGGATGTCGCTAAACCCACCTAGTCCACAATGATGGCACCACACTCAAAGCTAATTATGTTGATTGACTTAGATGTGCTACCAAAGTAATGAATGATCTGTCGAAAGAAAGCTCGCATGAGAAGAGGACTGTATGACTTCTTCCAATGGGTGTAGTTCATGACAGAATGCGACTTTTCCGCTTTTCGCGCGAAACATGTTTCGCTGCGGGAACCTTAGGTCCATCAGGATTAAAGTGGGCCGGACGTTCTACAGCGAAAAAATGTTCCGCGCTACCCTAACGTGAAAAAAACCGCTTTCTTCCTAGTGAACCACACCAGTTCCTATTCTGGTTTTGATTCAGGTCCTGAAGATAAATTCAACGCAGTTCCCGCAAGGCGTGCAAAAAGTGTGGAAAAAGAGCCTAGGACATTGCATCCATTTAGAATACCTTGGGATTTGCCATCGATGATTTAAGACTTGGAAGTAGCGGACTACATTAATGACGGTACAAATAGGTACAGAAGGGAATTATGCGAAAAAGTTCTCGCCAGTAGATATTCCGTGAGATCCAATCCACTGCAATCGAATGCATCCCTACTAGAGTGGGATCGTTGACAACGGTTTCTGGTACCGCACCCGTGAAGGAAGCTCGCTTGATGTATCCGTTTGTCGTAGACGAATATCCATAAACGAGGTAATTTCCTCTCTGAAAGAAGTTTCTCGAGGTTATTTGACCCCATCGAGGAACCACCAAGAAATTTGAAATCCTGACCTGATCAATATCAGCAGTCGTTGGCGGCTCAGTGATGTTCAATATATCCAGTGAGTCAAAATTTAGTGGCCTGAAAAGAATGAGGCACTTTCCGCAAAAAAGCTGGGAAATTAATGAGCTGCTCACTTTTCCAACGACGCTCTGGAGATATCGGCAACGTCTTCTTGAAGCATGACAAAGTATGACGAAGGTTTCCGACACGTCCGCTCATCACTCATCAGTTCGAATCCCGTCGAACACAAACACTTCGGCATTCCCTGGCTACTGAAAACAAGAAGATCATCTTAGGGAAACCCAAGCACCTATAGAGTGTGTTCACTTCGTTATAACAGTTCATGTCTCATGCACACTAATGTGGCAATACGTCGCATATTGATCAGCAGACTATGTCGCGCTGTATACGTGCGCGCCTCAGAAATCCACTCCCACACAGTTCTGTAGAAGGAGATTGTTATCGTTGTACACGGAGGCAACAGCGTCAGGAATGTGAATAAAGAGCCGACAGAAGTCCTCCGAACTTTGAAATTGTTCGTTGTTCGACAAATGATTTTATGATGTACAGAGATCTGTGAAGTACTGGGATCTGAGACCTGCAAAAGCCACTCAGGAACTTTGTAACCCCACGGGCTGATCGTACCAAGGGCCAGCCAACGGCTCCCTCATTTTCCCCCTGATTTTAAAAGTGGACAAGTTAACTACGCTGTTGACGCTTCGGCGGCCGTAGCAACAACCTTTTTGGTAGTTAGTCTGTGTTTCTTTAGTAGTTATTTTATATGTTATCGTTACAATAACATGATCTCGTACTGCGCAGAAGAATCATCCGTACGAAAGCGAAGGTTAAAGCAAATTTCAAGGTGGGACGAATTGATATGGAAGGCTTTCCTGAGAAGAAAACCACGCAACATGGCCGGGTTACGGTACGCCTGCATCCCGTTAGATTTTCGCACATTACAACAACTGTGTTGATAGGGCGCATATCGTATCTATATCTATCTGCCATATCATATCTTTCTGCCACATATCGTCAACTTGAACCCTTCTTTACCCTCTTAATCGTTCTTCAATGAAAATCAATTTTGTCGTAAGTTTGGTCCTTGAAGGCAAACTCCGAGATCAAACTGATGTGCTATTACGCGCGTAACTGACAGGGATGTAAAGGGTAACGTCAGTAATGAAAACCGGAAGATTGTGCAAGGCCAATGCTGCATCTCCAGAACCTTAGCGTCTCAACTAATCAACGTTCCCGTTGAAAAAATACACAGTATGCCCGGATACACGGAGTACGGCGTTCCGCAAGTGTTCGAAAGCAGATTTTACTGTAAAAAAGCACTCTATTAGAAATCAAAGTTGAGGTGGTGACGAATGCAGGAATGAACAAACATCAGGAAAAACGGCCTAGAACCCGAGAATCAGGCCCCCTTTTTGCCCGTTGATTTCCGCATTGGGGCGAATCTTATCGGCGCTGAAGTGATCATCGTGGACGCACTGCTCTGCATCTCTGCCAAATAGCTAGCGTCCACTGCTAGAGTCCGATGACGGGGTAGCCAGTCGAAGTGCAGGCAGCGCCGTGGATAATCCCCTGCCAGGGCGTTACGGGCGCACCCTTTGCCGGCAAAAGCGCCCCGTCTCGGACCCTCGAAAGGAGCGGTACTTGCATTCAATTATATCGGATCCTCTTTCAACTGAACCCCAACACGATTCGGTTCTGAAGAGACTTGTATTTTTCAAACAGTTAGTGTTGAGCTTTGCGCACATTATCGAAAACCACTGGATACCAATTTAAAGCAATCAGTGTCGGGAATCTTGGCATCAGCAGGCGCTCGCTCTCTAAATCCAATTACCTTGGAGAGTACTGATGGCAATAGACAGAGACAGGTGCTTAAGAATGCGTTCTGCACAGACACTACGCTAACGTATACGGATTTTTCATTCCGTTCATTTACTTAGTAATTCCTATCGTTCTGTTTCGCTGCCAGTGCAGCGTTTATGGACATTTATACCGTCTTCATGATCCTATGTAAAAACCATAACTACGTACGAGACGTTGAGCGTGAAAATGGTATTCACCTGACAACGCAAAGATGCATACACTCCAACTGCGCACAACTGCTGACATTTGAAACGGTGGAGTGAAGAGAAACCGCGACCAATCCAATCGGGCCATAAATCGACGACTCAATGACGCTAGCCGTTAGGGCTACTTAATTCATAATTAATAATCAAAATCAAGAACCAATCTCAAAATAATGTCAGCTCTACCAGTCTCTTCGTTGGCTGAGATGCGCATGAGCGCTCGACCTGCCAAGGAGTTGCAAAACAGCTCCTGACCTGGAAATAATCTCATGAACTAATCAAAGGGAGGAAAATTCAGTGATATTCCGCGGGAAAGACGCACCTAGGGTTGAGATGGCATATGGCTGCGGTAGCTTCAAAGACGCTGGTCCAATAACAACTTGCGCAGTTCCATTGAGGAACGCAGTCTATGAAAATAGAAATAAAATTCAGAAAAATGTATATATAAGAAAGTCGGACTATAGAAACTATCCCATGAGTGTAAAAATGGTGTACTGACCCTAACAACCGAGTAATTCCCTTCTGTCCAGTACAGTCGGTAATGCTCCGCATCAACAGCAATGCCATTAGGCCATGCATACGGCGCAAGAGTGACCTAAACAAAGTCATTCTATGAGCTGAATTAAGAAACTCGAAAGCCGGCCTTTCTCGAAACATGACCACTGTGCGCATCCCGTTCTGCACATTAACAATGTAGAGGTGCTCAGTTTTGTACTACAAAATTATTTCAAGACAAGAACATTGAACAATGAGATGATAGGGGAACAATCATCAACTTTATACGCGTAAAAATCGGTGCTGTGGGTTGGGGGCAGAGTCAACCCTGCGTTGCGCAGTTTCAACGGCCACGTTGCGCAGTTTCGCCCGATTAGACACGTTCTCTCGCGCGAACATTCACACTCGCATGCTCGAGCCGTCTGTGTCTCCGCCCATACAGCGTGCGTTGAGGATCTCTCAACGTGCCGTTGCGAACTGCGCAACGCAGGGTTGACTCTGGTTGGGGGGGGGGGGGACCACGCGGCGGCGCGGCGCTCTGTTCGTCTGCGTCTCCAAAGGCTAGTCCTCTGATGGCGTGTGTTTTGAAACTGCCCTTGGACTAAGCCTTGGAGACGCAGACGAGCAGAGCGCCGCGCCGTCGCGTGGTCCCCCAACCCACATAGTACCAAAAAATCTACCATCTTCTTGCTTAATTGCGCTTACTACGTATTCTCTAAATAGCACAGGAGTAGATCCTTGACAAACATCAATATGTAAGAAATATGGAAATGGTGATGAGCTTGAAATCTGAGTGAAACTTACTATTCTTGTTCGATTCCTTCCGTCGAGATCACATCGGTCAATATGACTTTGCTCACCGTGTCTATCTATAAGAACAGTTTCTTTGTGTCTATACAATGATATTAAGGGTAAAGAACAATGATATCCCACCACTGAAGTAGATGTGTCGATTGTAGAGGTCTAGCGCCAGTGTATGGAGCTTGGAAACTCCTCGTGCGACGATGACTCTTGTATGAGTAGTGCCTAGCTTTGTCACCTGAATCAGTCCTCGTAGTAACGTTGAGATCACTAGCTCGACTGGTGATGCTTTTTTCATCTGTTATATTTTGCAGCCCCTTCCACAAGAAAAACAGTCACGAGGTTTCACCCGCTATAACCCCCAGTGAGTGGAGATGGACGCTTAGCAGCCACGCTTCTGAGCTGCGGCTCAAGTGAACCATGCAGCTAGATGCGCTCAATACACCGACGGTCACTCCAATTCAGAGAGACCGATTAAACGGTTTCAGACATTTTCCCTGATGTCGTAATAAATTGTAGTTATTTCAAGAAGTGTAGTAGCTCTGAATACATTAACCGTACAACAAACTCTATGCTCAACGCCGACGTGACCGACCATTTTTGTCCAATGCGATATGAAGCGCTGCTATAGGAGCGCATAGAAGGAAGAAAATATGAAAAGGAAATGAATTCTATTCGCTCACGTAAAGTCGATTGACACCTGCATCGATCCAGTAAACGTTTCTAGCGAGGTAATCGAGTCGAAACACTCTCACCGAGTTTGGAATTGAGAGCACATCCTAAGCAAATAAAATGCGGTACAAGAACCATGAGAAAGCGGCAAACAGCCTCAGCTAATAACCTCGGCTGAGGATCCGTTCCCAAAACACCTGCGAATCCGTCCCACACTAGCGTCAATCCAATAGATCTTCCTTTCGACGGGATCAAAGTCGATATCATAGAATTTATGAGAGAATCCGTCATTATTAAGGCCCTTGAAAAATAACTAATAATGTTGGCACACTGGAAATGCCATGGTTATAAGAAAAAAAGAGAAAAAAAAAGAAATAGAATAGAAAAAAACTACAACTGTCTCACCTCGAACAAAACTTGCTTTGGAGTAAAGTCAGCGGTATCGAGAGAAATTTGATAAATTCCGCTAACAGCGGAAATAAATAGAATCTGAAAAGAGGTGACCTTGACCGGGTCCAATAGGAAACTTCCATTTTTCTACATTAAAAAGTACAAATAAGTAAACTAGAATAATGACCTTATCAACCCCTCGTGGATCACAGGTTCTTCCATCATCCAGTAGCTTGATTCCAACTGGGCAAGAGCACTGAGACCACGGATGAAAGTTCAACAGCAAACAAAAATGCGAACATCCGCCATTATTCTGCGAACAAGGATTTGGATTCGTCCCTGAACGAATGTTCGAACGAAATGAATGCTTTTAGAATTGCTAACAAGGCATGGTCAGAACCACCGGGAGAAAAGAAATGAAAAGTGCAGCCTTGCATCCTTCTGAAGAGGGGGGTAGCGATCGAATTGGGTGCCGTTTTGTCCGAAAATCGGACAAGAAGTGCGAAGGGGAATTTTACTTAGAAAAAAGCAAAAAGCACCAAAGAAAAGAATGAGAAGACTGAACTTTTTCTAGCGAGGTCGACCGTGGTACGATGGAAAGACACAGCTCTGCGAAAAGAGGGAAAGCACGAGAGAGCACGTCACACTCGAAGGCGCAGATGGCACGTGTGCGCGATTGATAAGAATCGCAGCGGTCGTAGCGATTGAGCGAAGGCGTTAGCTCCCTTGCCCTTGTCCCGACTTACAAGTCAGGGTAGTGCCACACCCCCAGTGAACCCGCTACCACACTCAACCAGAGAACTCTGAGGATCGAGACCCGTGCCCTTGAAGTTTTAGACTTGCAACTGTTTTCAATGCCTACTGAACAATTCTCCGAACGGAGTTATAAAGAGGAAAGGCGTGGCGGTAATGGTTCTTATGTAATCACTCCCTCAGTGCTCGTATAAAGATGGCTGTACAAAGAGCTTGCGAGCTTGAGGGCTTTTACCGTGAGAATAGCATGCAAAGTAACGCGGGCAAATGACCTTTCATAACTAGTTTCAGGCAGTAGTTAAGCAATACGAAAAGCTCAGGAGTTCTGAGCTCAGGATCTCACCGAGAAGCGATTTTTGCACGATCTAGGGGTATGTGCATAAAGAACTAAAGTTAATTTTTCTGAGCGGCTCCGCATGTGAAAGAGGGGTTAAAAACCTAAGCGCTCACCTTTTCGATGCCAGCTTGTAGACACCTACTTATGTGGAGTTGGTCCTTGCGGTGATAAGGCATCCAATACTAGCTACAGGTGCCATTTTGAACATCATGCATGCGCCTATCAAAAGTGCAAAACTTTGTCACCACGGGGAATCGAAACATGAGTCAATTTTTTGTCCCTTTTTGATGCTCAATGAGCCGCTTAGAAAAATGAGGTACAGTTCTATGTTCCACGCACGCGTCTTCAGATAATGCAAAAAAAAACTTTGAAAAAGGAGGCATGAGCTGGAAAACCTTCCTGGTCAGGTGGGTGTCAGACTCAGCGACTGCGCTGTTGCAACCGCAAAACTACCACAGAGGGTTTCGATTTTGATCCGTATAATTCACATTGGGGCTGGAACTGCTGCAATTGCACACTCGCTGAGTCTGACATCCAACTTTGGGCGCTTACGACGAAGTACACATGGTACAGCTAGTTAAATCAAATCAAATCGTAAATATAATTTTTAACTTACTGTTTGGCTGAATAGAAGGATCCAAAACGACCAATGACTCTATACCACGAATGCCTTCAATAGTTTTGTAAGTATTCCCACAGTCAGATTTCTCGCATACAATCAGTTCACCATGATAGGAGGTCGACCAAACGAAGTATGACTGAAAACTCACTCTTCAGATTCACAGAAAGCACTATGTTACGAAGTTTAGTGAAAAAGATAACCTTATATACAGTGAAGAACTGTATGGGATCCGTGTCGAAGAGCTGAACACATGAATCACGATGGTACAGCTCACAGTACCATATCTGAGACGATTTCCTTTGCGTTCTAACAAAGTAGATTCGTCTTGATGAGAGATCTAATGTTAACGATGAGTAGGTCACATCTTTAGATGAACTCACTGCTTGTTCCTGAAAACCAACCAGGAGTTCAACAGAATTTGATCTTCTTAGCGGTGTGCACTTACACTGTAAGGGTGTTTGTCATGGTGTTGACCATTCATGAATGATTTCTCTATACAATTAGTAATTCCATTCAACCAATACATATTCCTGAAGGCAGAAAAAGTGAAATGAAATCATCAATGTAAGGATAGAAAGAAGAGCTAGTACACCAAATGGAATTTACCATACAAACACATGAAATCAAGGATTCCATTCAGAGGCGCAGTCCACGCTGATCGGTTTAGCGGAGTCGCTTACCATTGCGCTTTCCTCACTGGTGTGCTCCTGCGCTTTGTCATTGCAGAAGGAGAGGGCACCAATGAGAAAGGAGCAGTGACCCAACTGACTCCGCCCATACATTTATTCACATTATGCGCATCTAACAGCACATCTAGGATGATGTGGAAGGAGTAACCGCGAGAAATGAATACCACTGACCCACTAGAGGTACATAACACGCGAAAATATCACTTAATCTTTTGTCTTCCACATTTGCTGCTCGTCCCTTTTTACAACTTCATTCCTACCATGACTGAATTAGTTCACTGGATCAATCGATCATCAGCAAGTACCAAACCGGTCAACTCGCAAATAAAGAGATCTGTGGACCTTCAGTATTAATATGTAATATGCAACTCAAAAAGAAAATAAAAATAAAATAAAATGTAATAAAAATCGAATATTCCAAAAGTGGAACTCTCACCCTTCTAATGGATCCAGACATAGTGAGTGCAAATAATCAAGATTCTCATGTATTATAATAGTGCAATTTGTGACATCTGTTAAACTACAAGCATAAACCTTGGCTGAACTGTCGTGACCAACTCCGGAAAGCGAAATGAAAATCTGAAAGGAAACTTATCAAAAATAGTTTGTGGAGATGTTTGAACGGGTCTCGTCCTTGAGAAAGGGCAGAATTGAAAGAAAAAAGACTGCGAAGGTTACAACAGAACATACGGAACCTTTTTAGTGACCCAGTCGAAGGCGATCGATGAAGGAGCCTCCTCAAGACCATATCCGATTCTACCGAGGTCGTTGGTAGTACTGTTGTCGGTAGTTAACGAGTAAAGATGGTTACGAAGGGTGAAATAGCAAGTACCCTAGAAATATGACTCTGACCTCATTTCATGACACATTGAAGGGGCACAGTGGATGATTCAGAACTCACAGAAGCGTCTACAGCAAGGAGTACTGACAACTCCTCTGGTATAGAGGGCACCAATAGAGTTGTTTCAGCTTCAAAGCTGTCCTCAGCTAGCGATATCAGAGCGATTCCTCGTTGCGTTCGAGCTACGAAGTCGACGCAATGAGAAGCGAAAATGGCTGAAATTGAACATTAAAGAGACGATCCATTCGGGATTTCCCAGCTCCGTCCCATACAATCGAAATTACGACCATCTTACCATTTAGCACCAGAAGAATGAGGAAATTGCTCATTAGGTTCGGTAATAAACTAGCGCATTGGCGTCACACCCCATTTGCCTGAAACAAAAAGTGTATGAGATTCGCGGAAAAGTAAGAAAATTATTGATCGTAACTTCACGGCAAAATACGTAGTAAATGACACGAAACTGGTTTGCTGACAGCGAGCACATTAAAGGGTGAAAAGGTGACGACAAACTAGCCAAGCAGATCGTAACGAATTGAGCGGAAAACGGCGGCAAATAGAGAGGAGATGGACGACGGCGAGACAATGCGTTTAGGACCGAAAGGGCAGAAGAGGGTCGAGCTGACGGTTATTAGCGCGAGCAGAGGGTCCGAGGGTCATCTGGCTTCTCGTTTCTTTTCGGCCTCCGCTTCGTGAGGCTAATCAATTCATCAAAAGAGGGCACAGACCACACACAGTGAAACCTCCAACCCCACCAATCGCTGGACACAATATGACCTTTGTAGATGCCGATGAGGCACGAATCGCTTAATTTACAACAGCGATTTCAGAGATAAAAAAGCGTTCAGCGTTGAAGGAGCGATAAATAGGCTCTCTTAAGCTGAAAATAAGAATCTTTCATCTAGTATGTCTTGTAGTTCGTTTCGATATTAGTCATGGTGCTATACAAGTAGGGTGGGCACGCCGCATTTTTTGAACAGAAATGTATGTAAGTGGGACTGCTGCCCGCTACTATACTGTCACGAGAATCGGGGAATTCGTGAGCCAGGGGGAGTGTAGCCAATCTAGGGGGGGGGGTGAGGGCAGTCACTTGACATGCGTGAAAAGCTGGGCGTGCCCACCCCACTTGTATAGCACCTTAGTCATAAGAATGTAACACGAAATCTGTAGAAAATCCATTTGACTCGTAAAAATTTATGTAGTGAAAATAAGCAACTGATAAGCATAATGGGACAAGGTAGACAATAGATAATCACATTCATAACCACACAATTGAACAAATTGAACACTGTAGATCAATGCTCACAGCATAGCTCGTTATGACCTAAAATTGCAAAGAAGGGAGTGGAGGGAGAAAAGCTCCTAAATTCGAAATTCTCAGAAAATTATGGGGTTTATTCCAGTTAGGGGGCGGTTTCTCGGTGAACTCGAACATTCCAGCTTTTCACGCATGTCAAGTGACTGCCCTCACCCACCCCTAGACTGGCTACTCCCCTGGCTCGGAGTTACCCTAGCTTTCTGGAAAAACTGCATCATGATGCCCCTCCCCCAAACTGAAATAGACTCAATCACGGTTTTCATTTTCTGAAAAATCAGTACTTTTGACTAATCTTGATCAATTCTTTGTTAGGTGCGCCATGCATTTGGCTTCCAATCAGAATCATAGTAGCATTTGATTGCGATATGTGATGACTTACCTGGGCCAGTCAATGCGAATTTGATTTTTTAGCTGTCCTCACCAGTTTGAATGTAGGCAGGACTGGATTCACTTGCTTCACGACTTGTGTGTGCCTGTGCGGCACCACTTGCCGTTATGTTAACAAACTACCTTGGACCAAGAGTGACGTGTTACCTCATTGAGCTGAGGAGGTTTTTCGAACGTCAGGTATCTGGGTTGCATGAATATGTGCGAATTCGACTCAATAATTATATAGCCAAAGCGCTGTGGCTGTACCGTGAAAAAGCCCTCGTGCGAGGTTAGCCCGAAAGCTTCCACTTTGAGGGAACAAAGGTCAGCTCCAGTACGGAATACATGATAGTAATCAAATAGAGCGAATCGAATAAAGAATGCGGCGGAAATTGGATTTGTGGAAACGATCAGTGCATGAAAATGAAGTCAGCGAAGTGGTGTGAATCACGGGGCGTTTGCATTTCAAAAGGGATGTCGTAGATAAATTGCATCTACGCGCAGCTTTTTTTCTCACCTATGCACTTTTTGTGATCGTAATTATTTTTCGAGACGACTCCTTCGTAGCTAGCGATAAGGAAGGACGCACATTCAACGCCCATCGGAACCCTCACACAGTCAAAGTACTGAAATCGATCCGTGGGCATGACGATATAAATTCAGTTCAATTTTGCCAGAGAGACGATAAGTTCAGGCTGGAGACTGTCCAGACTAGAGGAAGTGGACGAGGAATTTGGAAAGGACTATTCCTGGAGCAGTAAATAATCAGGGACCCCCGTCATTCAGGAATACTGGCGGGGCAGGGCACGCGTCGAGAAATTCGGGCCCACGCGACCCCCACCCCTTAAAGGAATCTTGCGCGGAAAATTCTTGCACTCTTTCCTAACATGAATATGTCAGTTGTGATCACTGGAAATAGCACACAAAGTTTCACGCATGAAGATTCGGTTTCTGAAGAGAAACAAACGTACAAAAACTACACGTTATGGACCATCGAAGGACCAGGAGGCAGAGCCAGGCGAGGCATGGAAAGAAGACGGCGTTTGGCCGGCTACGTACCAGGCGACGCAATGAGAGAATCGGGTTAAAGCGCGCGATTTCGGAGAGTGGAGACAAATCGATCGATGGAATAGGATGGAGTAGAAGTGTAAGATGTGAATGCAACGAAGCAGAAGGCCAGAAAGAGCTTCTAGTGAATGCACTCCAAGAACCAAGTTTGAGCATCCCCGTCGCCAGCATTCGTGAAAGACGTCCGTGGGCAATTCGAACGCGTAGCAGCCTTTTCGAGTTTTCGAATTTCTAATCAAAACGAAAGCAATACTTCAGTTCTTTTCACTATTATCGTGGATAATGAGTCTCAAGCCAGTGATTTATGGCTGAAATAGAATCATGATTTTTCCGCGCAAGATTCCTTTAACCCCTTTCACCCAACCGCCTATTACACCCTACACCTCAGATCATCCATGTCGACTTTGTCAAAAGCGCTGCAGCTCGCTGGTTCTGATACTACATGACACGCTTTAAAGGTACGAGTCAGGACTGAATTTATGCGTTATTTGTGTTCAAAAATTAGGCAAGGTAGTATAATGTATAATAATGAGGAACATTAGTGAGGAGAAAAAGCAAAAAGCACCATAGAAAACACTAAATTTCCCTTAGGAGGCCGGCCGTAGTACGACGGAGAGACACAGCGCTGCGAGGAGAGGGAGAACGCGAGATAGTACGTCGTAAGAGGACGCAGAGACCACGTATGCCGTGGTTGATAACGCTGGCAGCACGGCAGCACACAAGGCAAGGCCTTAGCGCCGTTGCCTCGCACTTTTGAGTCGCGACAGTGTCGTGCCTCCTGCCCTTGGGGACCCCTCTTTCTCACTTCTAGAAAGGACTGGCTTTTGGGCTCTAATCCTCAACTCGTGGCCTTAATCCAACCCCCTATTGACCTCTGAAATTGGCGAATCGGCGTCGAGAATTATGTTGGAGTGGGGGGGGGGGTAAACATGCGAACGTTGAAACAGCAATATTTACGTTCTGCGCCACTATTGTATTTTCATTTTCCCACGTACCTTCAACTATCCCCACATAAGAATTTTACGGTTTACAAAGTCTCAGGTACGCCCTCCTCTCATCAATGCAAAATGACCACCCGTCGAAGGGTCCTCGACCGTGTTGCACATAGACCCTAGCTGACCACATGGCCTAACCTAGGATCTCTTCAGGCCAATTCTAGTTGGCATATGTGTGTAAATAGATGCACTTATTTCGCACACTCAACCATATAGGACAATGGAACTGACATGCAAAATATTTTTCTGCGCCTCAGCGTCAGAGTTAGTTAAATTTTGGTTATGTCCGAAATCCTTCATGTAACACTTGCCCTGCAGAGCATTCAATTAAGAAAAAAGGATTGACTCTTGCGCCATGGACTTGAATTTTTGGCCAGGAAATGAAAGGAACGTTGGTAAATGCCCTAGGAGGAACTTTCAATGGACCCCAATAGCGCCTTAGTTACGCGTTTTTACCTGTTCAGTGCATAACGCGTCTTTAATGAATAAATTTTTCTCCGATCACCGAGCACCATGAAATCTTGGAAAATATTTTATAATATTTATTGGGATTTTCGTTTCCGGAACATTAAAAAAATATTGGAGGCGGTCCTTCAAGTTTTCAGATACATAGAAGCGGATATTATCGTAGAATACACTGTATATCATTATAAAGCCACTATTTGCTTCATTTCGGAACCAACCGTTTTTCTTCAGTAGCGAGGCAAATTCGCTACACGTTTCCGGTTTCACTAACCTCACTGCTCGAGGCTCGAGGCGATATCGATTTGGCGAAACGCCAAGTGTTGTTTCGCAGCCGCCTTTGCCTCCTTCGGGCTATCAACGACTTTCATCGTATTCTCTGAGTGAAAAATCATACTCCTTCTACTGGTCCCACAGTTCAGATGATCAGCGTTACAGTTGCTGCACATGGTCGAAGTCGACGTTGTGTTGGAGCACATTTAAGAGTTGGTCGTTTTCTCGTTGTTGTAGAAAGAATTCCAGTAACATGGTAGCTTTTGTAGGCTTACGGTAGCGGCAGATTGTCTATAGGGGATTTGAATCGAAATACCATACAGAAGAAGGCCACACAGATCCGAGCACAGTAAGTGGAAATGAAATCATAGCCATTTCCGTTTTTTTTTCTGTTTGCCTTTCAAGCAATAACTGCTGCTTTAGAACCTACTGGAGAAAATTGTGGGAAAGATTCTGTGGCTTGCTCGTCGCTATTCTGCAGTTTTGCTTTCCAGCTCTATTCCGATTTCTCTACACACCTTGCAGTCCGAAGTTCAAACAAAACAAATTCCAAACGGATCTCAAATCTACCTGCGTACCATATTCGCCGCTTCATGTGAGATCTGTTTACTCATCTTGAGCCATACAATCAGTTTGTTTATCATCAAGATTTGCTAATAATACCGTCCATGCATCTAGAAAGATTCGTTTCACTATAACTTACTGATGTTAGTCATTGTGTGAGGTAAGATTGCTAGCTCTCAAGACTCCCATCTGGAGCGCTTCTACTTGCTGCCAGGTAACCTTCTGGGAGCTGCATCTGAGATAGGGCACTGTGAAAAAGATTAGCTTGAACGAGGAGCTCCTGCTGGCGTACGGTAGCTACAAAGTAGCCGGGCAAGAGCGGCTGCAGATCGCTGATTTTGTGTCATAGCTGTTCTATATGGAAGCTCATCTGAAAAATCGCCTCCATTGTTATGCTCATTTTCAAAAAAAAAAACCCTCCGTGCCGGCGTTGTACAGGGTGTTCCATAAATCCTGCAACACTTTCATTTCTTGTAAGTTCTATCAAAGTGGACGTAGCTTTAAGCGATCACACACTATTCTTACAAGGTTTAGGGTTGCCAAGCTTTTTCAAAACGGTCTTTTGCATGATATAGGGGCACATGCGGGAACCACAGAACCATGGTTAATTTTTCCTGAACGGCCCTCTGAATACCAGAAAAGGGGGTCCCTAGTCACACCTTTTTCACCAGTTTTTCAATCAAAGTCTATTTGTAAGGGTTACTGACGGTCCTAATCATGAATATGGTACTAATTATTCATGCTAACTCCATTTTGCGCGAATTTTGAAACGTCAACTCGAAATGCAAAAATTTGTCACCACGAGGAATCGAACTAGGGACCCCCTTTTCTGGTATTCAGAGGGCCGTTCAGGAAAAATGAACCATGGTTCTGTGGTCCCATATGTGCCCCTATATCATGCAAGAAACCATTTTGAAAAAGCTTGGCACACCCTGAACGACCTCCCTTGTTAGTCCGTCCTTAAGATGTTGAAAGGAATGTTATTCGATAAGTCTCCCTGTCGCTGTGAGTATGGCTTCCAGTTGCTTCGAACACAACTCTAGTGTTTCCCGCATGGCATCCTGCAGTGCCTTCTTCGAAACTTTCTAGAGAAAAGGTCTCAGCTCCTCTATCTGGACGCATTGTTTAGTGCAGGCTCTGTCCCCTAATATAGCCCAAATAGGATGGTCCAGCAGGTTGAAATCGAGAGATATGAGAGCCATTCTTTGAGGATGTGAAATGGGGAACAGTATCATGAGACCAGTCTTAAACAATTTTTGCCCCTTATGTGAAGCTGGGCGGAAGTGGTGTAGTGGCAAGTGGCACGCTTACCACGCGAGCGGTCCGGGGATCAAATCCTGGGTCGTGAGTCGCCCGGGCCAACCAAGCCTTCCATCCCTCCGGGGTCGGTTAATTGGTACCAGACTTGTCTGGGAGGATAAAAACACTGACTTGTACATCGGCTGGCCCCCGCAAGTCATTGTATAGGCCACATCGCATTCAAACGCCACTACGAATGTACAAATGGAAGTAGAATGCGTGCCGCATCCCAAAAAGGGATTGATCAACGGCAAATGCTTTATCCTTTATCCTTATTAGAAGCTGGTTACTTTTGAAGGGAACGTTATCCTCTTTGAAGAAGCCAGATACCTTAGCAACAAATGGTGCACTGGAGCATTCGTTAGCTAGGTCTGTATCGAGTTTTATTCGCTTTTCAACAGACAGTTGTGGTGAGCCACCGGTGATTGAGACCCTTGCCCAAATCGTGATAAAGATTGGCTGCTGCTTGTGGCGAATATTCCTTTCACTCTCATTGGCTTCCACGGGACCTCATGCGGGCAACCTCACAGTTTGAAGATTGTAGCTCTGCTCCATAGGAGAAATTTTGTCGTCGATGAAAACGGTGCCCGCATGATCGCCATTTTCGGCCCTCGACACCAGCTCTTTGAACTTTTTGTCTCTGCTGTGCTCCTCCCGTTGGATTGAGCAGTGGTGCTTATGCAACTTATAATGGACTGTGAGCAGTTGTTATCTGACCACTCTCTACATGCTGTGTTTAGAAACTCCAGCGTTCTGGTCACCTTTCTCGAGCCAACCCGGGTATTGCAGTCGTTTCGCTTCTTCATGCTTTTCCTGAGATCCAAGATGTCAGAACTTGTGGGGCGGCCGCAACAAAGACTACCTTCATTGCTCTTGCCATGTGCTGCAAGAAATCGTGAGAAGTGCTTACAATTCCGCTGTTATATTCAATAAGGCTTACTGCATTGAACTTCTGTGGTCAAATTCTGCAAGCTAGACCAGTTTAGCGAAACCTATTAGAAAGTAAAGCTGTGAAAAATGTGGATAGAATGAATTACGGGCTCGAAGGCAGTGGTAGCGCCATTCGTAGGTGAGTAAGACCTCTTTGATAGAGTCAATCCCCACCTGATATTTTTTTACTTCAAAAAAGTATGTTGGGAAGGCCGATGTCAGACTTTGCGAATCGCGCGATTCGCTACTAGCGATTCGCGCGATTCGCTAGCGTCTGCGGTCGCGTCGCGGCCAGTGAATCACTCAATTGGCTGGTACCGCAACGCGACCGCGGACGCTAGCGAATCGCTAGTAGCGAATCGCGCGATTCGCAAAGTCTGACATCGGCCAAAAGTTGGTGGAAGTTAGATAGCAAGAGCACTTTCTTCGGAAAGTTCCTAATAAGGCGGGTCGCATTTTCTGAATCTCGGGATTCGGATTTCTGGAAAGAATCGGGAAGAAGTAGATCTTCGAGAAGGCGAAAAATCTCTGACAAACGTTGTCTCCATTTTTACATTTTATCATTCCTCAGCCCCCCCCCCTAAGGGAGATAACAGAAACAAACAAAAAAATCAAATAAAGAACTCACGTACGGAAACAACCGTGTACTCCTCTTCACTTTCAAACAGAGAAAATTTTGCCGTTTCAATTTCGCTATATACTTCACCCGTTCGACGCACAATTGTGGGACATGGCGGAGTTTCGAAGTGTGCTGATATGGGCTTGCTCAACGACACTGGATACCATCGATCGTTGGAGTAGGGGTGATGTTAGGGACCCCTTCAGAGAGGGGTGGATCCAATTTCGAAATTTTCACCAGCGTACGGTTGAGCTGCTGAGTGGGGAAAAGGGGGTGTGACACATAACAATGAAATGGGAAATTTTGCGATTTTCCTCAGGTTTTTGCTATTCGGTAATCATCTCCCCTTCCAAAATACTTCTTCTTCCAAACGTTTTCTTCCTCGATAGAACCCCCTACGTAACATTGCAAATACGACCTCGCTACTTTGCCTAATGGACGTAAACCCTTCTCTGTACGCACTCAAAAATAAGTACAAGGGTCTCGATCATCTTTGATAGTACGCAAATCAACAAATGAGGAAAGTGGAGATTTCAAAAACTCGACCTTAATAATCGCTCCAAAAAGGAACTTTGGCACACTGGGACCCTTCAGATTAGCTTTTTGCTTATCTTTTGAATTATTCTTGCTGAGCAGCTATAAAGCATTTGGCCTTTTGACAATTGTTCCTAGGTAGAAATCTAAAATCGTTCACAACTACTGTAGAAGTAATGGGTCAACAAGTAAGTTTATTCGCAGGATCGCAAAATGAAAGGAGAAAGTGATTTTACTGTTGAGCTCCTTGTGCTCAGGTTACCGATGTATATACTTTCGAAACAGAGGTGGTTTCGAATTTCTGTGATAAGAAAGTTTTTAGCTCATATTGTTTTCTGAAGGAAGGTGAACTGGGGTTATTTCCATGCTGAAAAACAAAGTTGGTTTCAAGCCATGAATCTTTTATCCTGACTCGGGCCGGCTGTTTCCAAGGATGCATTTATACTTTTGAAACGCATTGCATTTATGAAAGCTGAGTAGAGTCAGTAGGTGTAGTATAGAAACCCTATCCTTTAGGCTCGAATCGTAGCTGATCTTCGCCCCTAATGCAACCCTTAGTGATGCTTGTTTTTCAAATTATTCACCAGTCGGGGTTACCCATCTTGCTGCAGCTTGTTTCTCTCACAGTCTGATCCATGCAGTGGCAGATGTGGGTACGTTATGGCATCCTGTTCATGCAAATAGATTGCTCTTATTCTAGCAGTTTCCAAATGCTCTGCTAACGCGCATTTTCGGCTTCCTTGACTGCAAATCGCTACTGAGCTGCGAATCGACGTGCAAACGATGGAGAACTGTGATAGAAAGAAATCTAGACTCTCTTCCGAAGCTGCCTACGGATCAGGTTAGTTCTGCTGTGTTTTCCAAACATGAAAAAGTCAGAAGCAAATAACAAAATCTGTTTGTGTAGCAGTAACCATAAGATGATGAAGTGGTTTCCAGATTCGCATCCTCTTCGACGAGGCCGAGGTTTTTATTTATCCACTTGATGCGAGAAAGTGTCCAGTTCGCTATGACATGCCTTCCCTTCAGGTGTGCTTGATTTTGTCTCAAAGAACAGCACTTGATCGATGTAGGAGTTGGAAAATTGGCATAAATTCATCGTAACACTAAGGTTTCTCAGAAGTGTGGGCGTTTTTCGAGCTTTCTAAATCAATTTTGTTCCAACAACAGGCAATAATTGTCATAAATATTTGCACCATCACAATAAGTGTTTGTGCCGACGACCAACCGAAGGATTGATGCCTCACTACTGTAACTCCGGTGCTTCGAGTTGAAAAAGACAGTGAGGTCGATTTCAAGATGCGTCTTGGGATCGTCTCTTTCTTTGTACTTACCAACCGTAAAATAATTGCTTAATAAGAAAAATAGATGTCCTTGGAAGTAGGTTGATCAGTGCTGCACGGTGGATCTGCTAGGACTTCCCAACTACATACTTCGAAATTGATTATACCATTGATGTTCATTCTGATGTGTTTTTTATGCAGTAGAGGTTCTCACACACTAATATTCTAACTACAACTACTTAGTTCATGAGGATTTTTATTCAAGCTTCATTAATTTTCTAAAGAATTGTACACTTCTGTCAACTAGGTGTCTTAATCAGCTGAGACCTCGGTCAGACTCGGCGATTGCGTCGCTGTACACCAGCGACGGAATCGCCGGCGACGGAGTTGCCCGGCACAAGAGTGGCAGCAACGGGCGATGACTCAGCACACGATCGATATCGGTTGGCAGGGGGAGATTAATCATCCTCACCCATCGTTCATGTTGTTCTGCTCGGTTTTTTTTTCAAATTCTTAATCAGGATAGGATATAATCAGGAAAAGACTGCGTGGGATGCACTTGAATGCGAGGAAAGTGGTCCTGTAATAATTGACGTGATGAAATGACCCACCAAAAGAAGTTGTGAAATACAACTATCATGGATTTTCCCACTCGATCAAAGAACCAATCAAGTTTCGAGCTAGTTACTTCAAGATACCTTTGAAGTTATTACAATGACAGGGAGGACCACTATCCTGATTAAGAATTTGAAAAAAAAACCGAGCAGAACAACATGAACGATGGGTGAGGATGATTAATCTCCCCCTGCCAACCGATATCGATCGTGTGCTGAGTCATCGCCCGTTGCTGCCACTCTTGTGCCGGGCAACTCCGTCGCCGGCGACTCCGTCGCTGGTGTACAGCGACGCAATCGCCGAGTCTGACCGAGGTCTGAAAGTGATGATCACATAGCAGGTTCAGTTGTGCGGGTAATTTTCAGTGGGAGCACAGCAAGCCCTAACCGAACACTTTTTCTGCTTGTGCTTTTGCTGCTAGACTGCTTTTCTGGACCAGGATTTTCTCCAGACTGTAGTTTCCAGAGCGAAGGGATCCAGTCATTCTGGCAACATACGATAGGCAATGAAAAACAAAATTGTAACAGGCACATGTTGCGTCAAAGTCGACATCATTATGCTTCGAAGAAGGGCATAATGAAATGCGTGACAGACAAGGCCTCTTTTCTCCCTTTGAATTCGAAAATCAGATTAGAGCGGCCTGAATCTCATGATTTACTTCATGTACTGTGCTCTTTACAGCCCACGCGAACAGATTTACAAATAGCTATTGCTTTGGCATTCTCACTCATCAAAGCATTCTTTTTGAGACTGCATCACTGTCTCAATAGAGTTCGTATCCTTATTACACCTTGGTCCGAATTACCTTTTATTCCATATAGAGACGTGCAAATATCAAAGGAAGAGAAATCTGAATAGAACAACATGTCTAATCATACATGTATTAACACATTGACGACAGCCCCTTGTGCGTGTACCTCGGCACCTTTTTGTTTTTTTTTTTCACAATCGTCATAACTTCTTCAATAATTCCACTACTGGTGATTGATGCACAGTTTTTCGGATGAGATAATGCATGCACACTGTTCTGAAATATGAAAAATGCCAGATAAATCGAAAAAAACCAGCCAGAATCGGGTGAAATTGAGACGGGCAATCGCGCCTCACTGTTGTCAATGTGCTAATGTACAGAGGCGAAACTAACCTCCCCTTCAAAAAGCGAGAAAGTGTCGGGTGCAGACCAAACACCACAACTGACGACGGCCTCCAAGTAAATCTGGTTAGAAGTTGTTCATAGTGATAGCTGATTTCTGGTAAATGATAGTTGTAATTAGTGACAACTGATAGAATACAACTGCAACAGGCTAATCATTTCATTGGCAGAAAACATTAACATTTTGTGAAGGCCGTCGTCACTTGTGGTGTATGGTCTGCACCCGACACTTGTTTTTTGAAGGGGAGTGCACACAATGAACAACTAGGGATGACCTCTCTTTCCGACCACATTGCTGTCACCTACTTCCCAACTCCTTCCTACACCTTTTCCCTTCATTACATCAGTCCCGTCAATTGTGGGTCCGCCGAGGGAAGAAGAATCTTCCCATGGCCTCTTTGATCTCACCGATCAGAGGCTAAGACCAGTCGACGTTGTAGAACGAGCTCTAAGGCAGAGCTGGCTTCAGAACCAGCGTCCGCCCGAGGTTCGGGATGAAAGCATAGCAGCTCGGAGCCTAGCTGAGTAGACGGGCGCCCTGAGCCTTCGTCCGTCCCTTTTTGTACAATTAGGGCGCCGATGAGTTATCGTGAACTCAGGGTTCACGACAATTCTAATATTTGAGGTGGATGCTTTATGTTCAGCATTTTCGAAACATTTCGTTGATGTATCTTATAAAATTTCGTGCCTACTCGTTCATATGAAAAATTGCAACATTCCACTGCTGCGGGTCACTTACTTGGTATGAGATTTTTCTAGGAGAAAAAGACACAGGCTTGAATATTGGTCGTGGTGGTGTCCATAAGTCAATGTATAGAATAGGGTCTACAAATCGCTTAGGGGTATGCCGTGCGTGCAACTCCATTCAAAATCATGGTCGCGTATTCAAATGACTCAATGATTCTGAATGAATGTCACATTCATGGCATACTTCCAAATAGTAATAAGTTTACCGTAGATTCATTATATTGATGCGTAGCAATCACAACGATAGTTAGCAGCCTTCACATCAAATGAATATCACTTTAATGAATGAATAAATGAGTGAATGAATCATGAATATTTTTTGAAGGCTCTGGAACGACGCCTACGCCACCTGACGACACAGTCGCTTTTCATTCGCGGCTTGATTCCTGTCGAGTCATCGCCAGTACTTCAATCATTGCTCTCACTCGCTCTCCGACCCCAGCAAATCTATTTCATATGGAGCAAGTTTAGCCCAGCCAGCATTCCAACGGTACGTCCTAGAGTTTCCCATCCACGCAACCTTCGAGGTGTCTTCGCATAGCTTCGTCTAGCGGATCTTCTTAAAACAGATGATTAATGGATGTAGAGACTGGAAAGGTTATCGAATAGAGATTGGAAATGTAATCAAAAATTTCACTGCAAATAAAAACATAGCAGTAGTAGCAGCAAGTCGACTAATTCCTTGATAGCAGCCAGCCTTGCGACGGAAATGGCTGACTTCTCTGCTGCGACTTTTGACTCCGTCAGGCTCCGCTTGCTTGCTCGTTTCCTCACCGAGAAAAAATACAAAGATCGCGAACACCTCACGGGTTTCGGACCATTTCAGATGATTTCTACTTCATCCCTGCTCCACTTGCGACCTTCTACCTCATATTTCCAATAAGCTAACTTTTCATTGTAAATTCTGCCTTTAAGGAAGTCTGCCTGCAAATTTTGAAAAAAAGCAATACACCACATACTGGAAGGAACCGAAAACGCAGACCAATGCTTGAGGAGAAAGACTGATAATGAAAGACTGAGAAAGACAGAAAGACTGACGCAACCAAAGCTCTTGAGGATAGTCCTTGTAACGTTTATAATGGGGCCTTGATGTTATTGCAGGCAAGACACTGAAAAGTAAGGGCGTCGAAGAAAACCCTCCGCAACTCCTCACTGATCCAGATAAAGAAAGCAGGTTTGAGCGCAGCCTCTTAAGATGTGTGTAGTAATGTACACCTCATTTCATTTGGTCGGTTTGACCTGATGATTCCTGGTGAGCACTGCCGGTCAAGGAACGCTTCGTCCTTTGTGGGTGGATCTCTATCATTCATTCATACTGGCAATTCGAGGCACTCCATGTCCCAAGTTTTCGGTCTCTGGGCTATTTTGAAATCAAAACTGATATCTCTGTCATCGGCACCACCCATCTCGGATCATGCCCCCCCCCCTACGATGCCGGGGCTTCGTGTACTTATGTCTGCTCCGTTTCTCCTGCCCCATGCCCCACCCTTTAAGGAATCTTCGCGGGGAATCCTTGCATTCTTTCTTGACATGAATGTGTCAGTTGTGATCACTGGAAACAGCACACAAAGTTTCACGCATGAAGATTCGGTTTCT